GATTTATTTTGATTACTGAGATTTGAAGTTCAGAACAATTCATGTGGTCATGGGATTTACCAACTTTAGTTTATCATATCGTAAATATATGATGAGTGATTGTATGAGAACATGTATGTTAGATTATCTTGACTCATAGGAGAAGTTTATCAACGTCTATGTTTAAACTTAAATTAGCACGGAGAGATGGAAGTATTAGGTCGAATCCCGTAGTAGTCGAGGTTGCAGAAGTATTGGCGTTAATCGAAAAGATTAGGGAACGAAGATATGATTCGAGAAGTATATCCCAATAAAGTAAATTTAAAAGGAGAGAAAGGTCATGAGGATTTTAGAAGATTAGAATTTGAAAGATGACGGAATGGATGCATCTGCTCCATTGCAAATGATTTTGAGCCACGAGTCGATAACCGCCAGTTACTAGGTAATCTATACGTACTAACATGGCCGGGCTCAATTTTAAATGACTTCATTGGCTGGTGAAATGTTCTGGTTTGGCCGTCCCTAGCTTTCTTCTAGGCTACTTATATATCGGACAACATTATTCGTCGAGGAAGTCGGTGGTTGGGCATACTTCATACATGTTCCAACTACCTCGACTGATGATGACTGAGTCAAGTCTTCTCTTCCCGAGCTCTAATCAATTCTTCAAGCATTATTCGAGCTAATGGTTTAAACACTACTTTATTTAAACTGATTTCTGTGTGATTGCCAAACGATGTCGAAGTTGTAAACTTACCTATCACGTTACTGCCTCATAGCCAACAGTTTTTGTTCCCTATTTCTAGTTAGTATTCAAATTAAGGGACCAAAAATATCAATCTTTTTGGAACGCATCTGGTCAGTTGCTTTATTTGGTTAAAAGAAATGCTACCACCTCATCGAAATATTCGAATATTTTACGATTTATCTGCTCAAAAATAGCAGGAATGTTAACCAGTTATTGAACTGTGATATTACGAAAAGCATTATAACTATAATGTTCATAATGCCTTTTTTAGAATTCTAAAATAAGAAAAATCGCACAAAATAAGGATATTAAAATAAATCATTAATAACAAAGGACACTTAGTTTATTGAATAATCAGAGGTCACAAACTTCTACTAGAAGTCTGCTTATTTTAGTTTGCTCTGTTTTAAAACATCAAAGAAGAAATGAACTTGGGTTATTGATTTGTTAGACTGTTTTACTCCATTATTATTTATGGCCCGTCATTTCCCTTCATTTTAGTAGTAGATAATTAATAAGTATTTTGAAATTAGCCTGTTTGATTTAAAATTTTTCTCTTAACATTTGTTAATTGGTTAGCTGATCATGTTTGAGACAGATTTTCCGAAAAAGTGAAGTTCTCCAGAATTAACTATATCATATTTACTGAGTTTCTGTCGAACCAATTAGATAAATAATCTCTTATCAGAAAGTTAATGTTTTGATTGTGTGATTAAGACGGTAGAATTGTCAAACAGGCAACTACTAATGCATTCTATTTTTGATTCTATTCTGTGATATAATTTAAAAAATTTGAAAATGATTCCAGTTACAAGTACTTAGTCTGAACCAGTACTGATAAAAATCTGTCAATAACACAACCCTATTTTGTGGTGGCGCTTCGTTCTCTGAGCTGGATGTTTTGATTGTGTAGCTTTCATTGTTTTTCTGAGTAACATAATCAGAACAATCTTCAGATAGAAGTCAAGTATTCGAACTTGTCTATGAATGACCCATAGATTGATCTTTCAAATTCTATCCTGATTGGTTGTTATTGATCTGAAACCTGTCGTTGTCTGCACCTTTATTTTCATTATACTCCCCTTTGATCTATTTCTTGATCCTGTGTTTGCCTACGATTTTTCTGATTGGTAGATAAACTGAGTCAATGTCGATGTGTTTGTTGATTGCTGACTCAACTGAGTGCCAAGCATCTAAAAATTCCCTAGTGCTCTTTTGCTCCTCCTATCAAGTATTTCAACACTGATGATGCTGTTCAGAAGAAGAGCTAAAGATCAGTAACCAAAACATCTAGCTCAGAAAACGAAACTCCACCACAATCATTCATCATAGGTACAAATTTTCTCCACCATCTCATAAACTATTTTATCACTATTTTGATATGCCGCGTATGTATTTATCAGTTATGCTCATCTGACAGGAACCTCTATGTCCTATAGTCAACTTTCCATTTGTTTGAAGGATTTACTTCATTCAGGACGATAATTCGTATTGTTTATGAGAGTGAAATATGTTTTGTCGCACTTAAATAAGGTATGATCAACTGTGAAAGTTTTCTTAGAGGGTTTGTTAACTACAGAATGAGGTCGTTAACCTGATTTCCAACTGATTTTCCTTCAAGCATTTGACAGTGCGAACACGAGAACACACAAGAGGCTTCTTCAACACTACGGTGTGCATGAAAACATCGTCCAAATCATACGGAATTATCACAACCGACTACAACACAAAATCATCCATGCAGATCAGCCCACAGATTCATTCTAAGTAAAGACCACTTTTACACAAGGCTAACTACTCTCGTCCTTCCTCTTTCTGTTCGTAGCTCACTGGATCATGAAAATATCCATTTATGTTAGGCGAAACAGTTTGGATGCAGCTTGACGATTTGAACTTCACAAATGACCACTTCTTCTATCCCATACACAGCAACAAATGCGGGAGAAGACTGTCAGTGTAGTAGCAGTCTCTGCAGCAGTAGGTATCGACATACTCAAGAGACAAGTCAAGACCCTCTCATACAACACAACATGCATCAACCAAATTGCACTTGATGGAGGAGATTTAGATGATTTGGAAAATTTTACAAATCTGAGCAGCATCATTGATAAACGAAGTGGACCTGACATAGATCTAAAGACAAGGATTAGCAAAGCAAGGGTAATAAATCTTCAATAAAATCATATGATTAATTGACTCATGATTTTATGTACCTTGATATTACAGGGACGTGCGTTCACACAAGTATGAATTATTCGCCTGAATATCAAAAGAATATGTATTTACCAAACGAATACTCTTCTTGTCTAGGAAGTCGAATTGCAACAAACATTCAGAAATTACAAGGTATTTTGTCCCAAAATAAAATACTTAGTAAGTATGAAAACTAGATTCAGCCGATAATAGACTGATGGCATTCGTTTAGATGATTTAAAAAGAGTTTAAGGTAACAGACATTATTGTTAACTGCTTATAAATGTAATCTAGCCTCTCTTTACGGAGAACGGGTTATCGTAATTGATCAATATACTTGTGGTGGTGTTTCGTTCTCTCAGCTGGTTGTTTTGGTTGTGGAGCTTTCATTGTTGTTCATTGTTGTTCAGAAGAACAATGAAAGCTCCACAACCAAAACAACCAGCTCAGAGAACGAAACACCACCACAACCATCCACCTGAGCTACAAGTTTTCTCCACCATCTCAAGATCAATATACTTGCTTCTCTGAAACCTGACATGTGAATCGCTTAACACAGTTTACCTTCAACCTGGAAAGCATTTACAGGTACTAATTGTCAAAAGACAATTTACTAATCCTATTCTTTATTCTCCAGTACTTATTGGATTCCCAATTTTTCTGTGACAGTGCCTATAAAAATCACTCAACTATTTTCTTTAATATAGATTTAGAATAGCCATGAATTTCACAAGTCTTGACCAATGGTAGTCTTAATCCAAATTCATATGGGCAGACGCTGCTTCATTTTAAACCTAACTGTAGATATATGAAACATTTTGCTATTCAATAATATATACGCAAATATCAGCATTTTCGCATACAATCCTTAACTATCATTACTATCAGTGACTTTTATTTCAACTTTCAGAAAAATTGAAGACTCGGTTAGTGTTTACACCTGGACCGTCGGATATTGTTAACTGTTACTAAACCTCCACTCGATTACTTATCTAACAAAATTGTATCCTTGATTTTCTTGTCATTCATACAAATATTGATAGTTTCGATTTCAAATACTTATGTACAACTCGTTGAGGAAAACTGACAGAATATTATTCCTTAATGAAACTGATCACTTTAAGGTTGTGTGAATACATTGAAGCATCAATATATATATATATATATATATAAACTTTTGAGTTTCTAAATGAACAAACAAAACGAATCATGATTCAACACTAACTTGTAACATTTTAAACAGGAGTTCAGGTAACCCTTAAGGTTAACATATCACAAGGGACCTGGTTTTTGGCATATTAACTGAGCATACCAAAAGTACATCACCAGCTCTCTATTCGAACTTAACTCATAGAAGATCGAAAGATTTCACTTTGTTTTTGACCGATCTTATCTATATCGCAATTCTTACAAAACTATAATATCCACTTTAAAAAATTGGTCTATTATTTCCGAATAACGTACTTGTCAAAGTGCCATTAACTGTGAGTTAAACAGTAATAGTTAACTAACTTACGAGTGACTTCATTCGCATTGCCTGCATACCTAATTCATCAAGGGTTCGATTTCAAAAATCACTTAGCTGATTAAAGAATCTAAAGTCCTTGAAAAGTTGTCCTAGAAACTTAAAAATATTATAGCATTAACTTGGTACTTCTTCCATCACTCTGTCTCATTGTTCAACATTTTAAGTAAGTCGCATGACATTGACTTGATACTCATAGTATAGTGTTGAAGTTGTAGCTATCATCGAAGAATTAAATCATAAGGAAAGAATTGTTTAGTAATGTATATATATACGATACAAAAAAACGTCTATACGATTCAGTAAATATGTTATGAGCAAATGTTATTTTCATGCAGTAATATGGAAAAAAATCGTTTGCCTGGTCAGTCAGTCTAAAGTGTGAATAGATCAAGCGAATGCACACAATAAATTAGAATGAATAAGTTTTGTATCTGCATCTCTTTTTTTATTATTATTTCTTGTTTAGTTATCGAAAACCAAAAAAAAAAAAAGAACAAACTACATTTTTGCAGATATGATAGAATAGTGCAGTATTATATTATTAGACTTTTACTAGATTTTTACTCGATTCATCAGACCATTTGTTGTTAGATGAATAGGAATTATCCAATGTTACATTGAATGTACTTTTCAATACTGAGTCAGCAACGGTGGCTGATAACTGGAAAAAAGAAAGAAACATATAAATAAAAATAATCATAAATAGTTGAACGAAGCAAAGGCGTTTGCAAAGCGCACATCGAAAGATAACGTCGTATCAATATGATGTTATCAGCTTCTACTGAGAAAAACACTGACTTCAACATTAAATTTCATTTAATACCAATAGTTGTTGTGCGAAAATGCATAAAATAATTTGTCATGATCAAAATATTCTTCACAAATTTTTTGTATAGAATTAGCCGCTAGAAGAAACTGAATCAGTTATTTGATTACAATATTTGTTTAATACTTATAACAGTGATAAAGTTGGATATTTTCATATACCTTCACTGTCTTTAGATATGCATGTATTTTTTCTGTCAAAAGTGGAATCGCTTAATTTTTCTTCTGGATTAAAATACTTATCTTTTCACAATACTGTCTCAATCACATCAATAAAACAAATCAAACGAAGAGTAATTTAAAAGAAAATTCAATTTATCAGCTAATATCATACTTTTTGTATTTAGCTTTTTAAACTGTTAAAACTACCAACCAAATTCCGTTCAGACAGCTTGATTTCTTTCAAAAAGGGGAAAAACTTTAAACAGATTGTATCACTATTGAACTCAAACGTGATGTGACTAGTATGAACAATTTTCTGTTTGAATAAAATAAATTGAAGCATGTAGATTAGTTTTGTTGGGTTTTAGAGTGCAACGTAAATTAGTTAATCTGTTCGTTGGAATATATGACAAAACCGTGTGTAAGAAACATTTACTCTCCAAACTGTTTATAATTAAGTGACTAATCAAATCTATTGTGAGTTGAAACAATCTTCTGAATCATGAAGTAGATATGTCATGTCAAAATACCATCCTGATTGGGGTTTATTTCAGCTAACCACTTAAACGGATACCAACGGTTACCTGTATTCTAGTACGGATTAATTTTCTTAACTAATTTAAAACCACCACAACCACTTTTTAAGAATGGAACTTTTAGTGTGATACTTGAAATATTGTCCTGTAACCGAAATTCGAACAAAACAGAATCATTTTCAATTTTCGCTGTCAAACTTCACTACTTTCCTGTAAGCATGACGCATGAATACATTCTATCCATCTAATCCCTTCTTTTAGGAAGCAGTCACTATAAATTATAGTTACACTATGTTCGGAACACCTTTGACTTCCAGAATTAGTTCTGCATAAAAGACCGATGACTAGGGTCTAAAAGTCTATACAATTAGCTGAATAACTTATGCCATTCAGAGCTGGTTTTAGGACAATACGTTTGTAAGTACTGAATTATTTGTTACTTAGAACCTCAGATAAATGAAGGCTAAGCAGAGTAGAGTGAGAGATATATGGAGAAATAGGTAAATAATAAATATTATCCTATTTTAAAATCCTGCAATACAATTACTACGTGAAAGCAGAAAAGGGATTCAAAGTGTCCAATAATTACTGAGAACTCTGAAACTGTTTAATCAAATTCAACATAAAACAAACTACACAGGAAAATACTTAACCCCACCCCACGATTTTGCACTGGCTACCCCAAAAAACTCTTCCAGTTATACAGTCAAAAAGATCTTTCATCTCGGAATAACTAGCGAACAAGAAGAATATTGGTTGTCATCACTGACATGAAATAGAAATATAATTCTGCACAGAATATTATTCAAACGGTGCCTTTGAAATGATAAAAATATTCGAAAGGAATGCCGCGTTTGATTACCATATTACAAAGCGATTAACAAGTATCTTTTCACAATATAACAGAAAACAAACTCTGATGAAATTTTATTTTTTATTCAACCTGACATTGATATTTCTTATAAAAAAATTCACTAACTCATGTCAAAAAAATATTCAGCTTTTTACCCGCTTTGAAAATAATGCTCAACATTGATATGATGCCGAAATACATCCGATGAAGTAGAGTAAGTATAGAAGTAATTATTCCGTTAACATTAGATTGAATTTCTACTTAACAACAAACTAGTATTCTGTCAAACAAAAATTCTTTGAGTATATTAACGAGCACACAAGTAGTAGGACAATATTACTCGATTACTTAACTAAGCATTAAGGGCATAGGACGGAAAACTTCAGCTACAAGTTTCTCAAAAATCAATATTTATAAAACTTTATTGGATAAAGCTGTTACAAATCATGAAAGAAAGCGTTACATAAAGAATAAAATCGATCACTATTTATGAAAAAACAATAAAAGCCATGATATTAAAAAAAAGTTTGTTATATTTTAAAAGAGATAGTCAGCTCAAACACAATGTTACATACGAAAGTTTTAAATCGTTTTGACATATATAATATGCAGCCGGTTTTCTGAATACTCAAAGTATATTGAAAACGAAACGACTAATAAAATTGTAAAAATGTTCAGTTACTAAATCGAGTAAATTGAGAAACTGGCAAGACAGTTTCTACTACATACTGTAAAAAAATAGCTATTACAAAGTGAAATGAATATTAAAAACGTTTTTCACTTTTAGTAAGTGCAACATATTTTACACAAACTTTGACAAATAAAAATAAAATAATATAAAAAAACCCGCGGAATTTCAAACATCAATTTGACGTATCAATAATATATATATATATAATATTACCTTGTGTTCCCAATGCAGTTGGAACACTCAGTCTTCTAAATTACTGGCATCAGTTAAAACTTGCTGTTTGCTCAATGAGTCACTTCATGTAGAAAAAAAAACTTACAATTTGTGAATCATCTTTTCTAGACGGCTTGATTGGATTAAATTAAGATATGGAGAAAGAATGTAATAAATAACATTGATAAAAGAGACTTCAACCTAAAGTCTCTAAAGTACATTAGACAAGCAATTTTAGTTTAGACTAAGAATGTATGATTTCACTTTTGAAAGCGGAATTAAAATAGAAGGTCTATGCTTTCAAGTATGTAAAAGTAAGTACCGACTTTGTGGTCTAAGCATAAACAATCAAACTACTTGTACCTTCAATTATAATCGAAAATATGCTTCTAAAAACATATTTCATCTACTGTTAACATTTTTCTTGAAGTTATAACGATATAACAAAGAGCCATACAATTAAAAATCATGGCCATGCTTTATCCACTAAAACAAAATGTACATACAGAATAAAACAGTCATTTAGCAATCTTTTCAGTCTTACTTGTTTTAAATACGTTCGTGTTTTATGCTGGAAATAGTAAATAGTAAAAGACTCAATCTGACAATCTTGTTTCTTATTACTTGTTTAAGAACTTACTTAAGTGATTCTTCCAACATAATACTGTACTTTTTGCAAATGAAATACACGAAATCATCATGTGTCACTCAAGTTGCCAACAAGTGTGCACATTTTCCCACTGATTTAAATGTCTACAGTGATCTAACATGCAAGTACAGGTTTTATATGCTGGAGCCTGTCATGTCGAATCATACGGGTTTATTGAAATTAATTACCCACAAATATTTCCTTCTTTTGTAGTTAGTTAAGAAAAATTATACGACTCTATATCTAAGCTTAATGCATATATGATATTTTGGTGAATTTAAATTTAGTTTTATGAGCGACTCACAAGCTTTTAAGTAATAATAAGTTACTATCCTATCTGTCTAATACGGCTATTATTTCTACCATAAATATTTTTGACTGATAAAACGTATCCATCTTTTAAACGTATATCATGTAGCAAAACAGAATGATTTTAGTTATTTTATTTATTCAATATACCGGATAAAGACAATATCTAACTAAACGTACAAACTTTAGATGTATAAATACAAAAAAAAAGTGTTAAATATTGAAACACTAGCATTCTAAAATAGCTAATCTATAAAATAATTGTACTGGCGTCAGCTGAGTACATCTGAGTCATATTTATATAGTACCTGATTTATTTTGATCATTGATAAGCAATACACTTATTTGTTGTATCATTGTCGCCGATTAGTTATAAAGTGAAGACAGACTTTGAGCAATAAGTATTTCAGTGAAATGTGAAAGTAAATTTTCAATGAATTTTCAAGTATGGGTGGTCTATTAGACCATATGATTAATTTCATACTGTTTTCAGTAAAAAAAAATTTGAATTTAATTGTATTTCCGACTGAATAATGCAGTTTATAGACTAATTACATCTGACCCGTTTTACAAAACAAGTATGTTTTATCAAGGCTAAACGAAGGAATGAATGAATTGACCGAAATTTTTGTATAAACGTCGACAGATTATTTAAGAAAGTGTGAATCTGTATTAAAAAAAATGAAACATTTATCTTTATCGTGACATCTGATCTAGATACATTTACTTAATCGGTTTAAAGTGCTCAGTCTAACAGTCAAACAAGTTATTAGGTAATTCCCCTAAACTTTTCTTCAATATACTTTAAACTGAATCGATATCATATAATGAGACTCAAATGTGTCCAGACATTTCCCAGTTAATAATACGGTATTTTTAAATCAATAAAAAAAACTGAAAACTGGACAAACTACAAATGTGCGTCATCGAAGAAATTTCGATCAAGCAAAAAGATCGGTAATTATTTGAAAGATCGTAATATAGTTGAACAAAGTGTAGTATAGTTTGCTTTTTTAAGTATTGGACATGAATATTTTGTAAAATTAACATTACAGAATTGGATTTATACAAATACAATTTTCATGCTTTTGAGTGAATGCCAGAGTTTGTTGTCAACTTATTCTTATGATAAATCCACGAATCACTTTAGTTTGTCACATTTGAATTTGTTTCTCTGAAGAACTAATCAAAAGATCATTGAATTCAAGTAGTGTGAGTAGATAAAAAAAATTTATGAGATGAACTATTCTTTTAGTAAATGAAATTATTCTGAAAAAATATAGATTCTTCAAGTTTATAAGTTTGAGCTACTTGTTAATAACTATTATACTGAACAACATTAATTAAGAGATTGTAGTCTGAAATTCAGCAATTCTAATGTAGGTTAAAAACATATTTGATTTCGAACAATATTAAACGTTAA